GTGTTAGTCAACAAACTTTAATAATGTAGCACATCCAGCCCTGGTCCCCACTGCCTGAAGGCCAAGTATGTTATATTTCACCTCTTCCCTAGGGTTCTAGGGTACCCTTAAGGGAGTTTGGGGTGTATCCAGGCTGTCTGCAAATAGCTCCAGCTCCCACCCATGGCATTTTCCCAAATGTGGGGGGTGAGAGAGTGGGGGGCAGTCCTTTGCAACCTCAGTTCCATTTAGCCACTAACAATCAGATTAGATTTTACAAGGAAATATTACTCAAAGATATAATCACAAGTAACAAAGCTACTCCCCCAACACATGGGAGGCATAACCTTCCCTCCCCTTTTTACAACACCCTGGGGAGGACAAGGGGTAGGATTCACAGCTTAGCTCAGCTCTTAAAGAGTCCAGTCCCAGATCCAACCTAACCTCTCCACCCCAAGCTCCAGTCCCAGGCACTGTGGTTTCTTAGGACTTCACTGCTGGGCTGCCTAATTGCACCATCCCTAGCTCTAAGGTCCCCATAGCTCCGTCCACACTTGGAACTACAGACAAATGAAACAGAACAGAAATAAACACCCCCAAGCCTATTTCTTGGAGCCAGGGTAGAAGAAGGTATAGGCGAAGGAAGTCCTTCCCCTCTTACCATTTCAGCCCAAACTGTAGGGGAACTGTTATCTTTACCCTCTTGTTTCGCTGTTCTTTGTCCTTGGTTCTCAAAGAGGACCATGACATCAGGAAGACAATGCCATGACTTGCCAGTGAATTGTATTTAAGTGAGGCAGGACTATGCAAAGTCACCAGCCTCACTTTCTTCTCCGGAACCATCTAGGTCCAGTCGCAAGAAGATCAGGACAACCGAAGATGGCCCGGATGCAGTGGGAGACCTTGACCTTTTTAAGCTAAGGTCTTTCCGAGTTCTCACTTTGACTGAGGCAACACCTTCTGGACACTCACAGGAAAGAACACAAGTCAGAAAGAGAGAGACAATTGCAGGCTCATGGTTTTAAAACTACAACCTTTCAGTCACCCAGTCAATCAAAGGAGGCTACCCACCCCCATCCACGTGGTAAGAGATGCAGAGTAATTACATCTTAGGAGATTGCCTGTGCCCAGGCAAGGGATGGGTCTTTTCTAATGGCAAATCCACTTACTATTCTAATATGAGGGAAAGATACATGTGTCCTCTCTGAACCGTATTATCATCAGGGTTTATAGGACAAATTAGACAGAAGGCCTAGGAGTGATTCTGTTTGCCTTGACGGCCTTAAAAGAAGAAAGGAAAGGGAGAAGAGGAAAACACTTGGCGAGGAAAGAGAGAGGAAGGTTAGGTAACATTATCTCCCATAATCAGAGTGCTCAGGTAGAAGCCTATACAACAAGAAGGAAGGAGGAGAGGAGAAGCTGACACTTGAATCTCACTCTGGACCAAAGAGGAAAGAACACACACACACACACATTTGCAAAGCAAGTGTCGTAATTCTTGATGCCTGTGGAAAAGGAGATTTAGGGGAAGCAATCCCTTTAAATCTCTCACAAAAAGACATTATTTCATATACTACCATGAAATTCATGGTATCCTTCCCCTTAAGATCAGAATTCATCATAGAATCATTGATTTAGAACCATAAAGGGATCTTAGCAGCCCTCTAACCCCTTTATTATCAATATGAGGAAATTGAGTTTGGGAAAGGCCAAGAGATTTGGTCACAGGCCCACAGTTAGGAAGACGCAGAGCCAGGACTCAAAGGCCCTCCTGTCACTCTTTGCTCTGCGTTCTCCTCCACTAATATTACATTTGTTCTCTTAGAGAGTATAGGTCCTCCAGGGTTATCATATTTCAGAAACAGGGATATCAAAGAGGCAATTATGGCCAGCTTCCGGTAAGCTGTGGAAAGGAAGAAGAAAATGGAAGAGAGAGAAGAACCTTCTTGGATACAACAGGGAAAGAAGGAAAGAAGTATTAATTAAGTGCCTACTGTGTGCTGGGCATCGTGCTATGTGATTTATAAATATTATCTTATTTGGTCCTCACAACAACTTTGGGAGGTAGGTACTATTATTTTCCTCACTTTACAATTGAGGAAAGTGAGACAAACAGTGGTTAAGTGACTTGCCCAGGGTCACAGGGCGTGCAAATATCTGAAGCCAAATTTGAACTCATGTCTTCTTGACTCAAGGCCCTGTCTACTGCAGCCACTGAGGTGCCTTGATGAAAAACAACTACAGTTTACATTAGGTTTCTAGCAGGAATTTGCTAATTGCTGATCAAGGAAACCAGGAACATACTATTGGGGGGGGGGGGAGGTTGGGCAAAGTCCCAGAAACAAGGCTGACTACAGATAAAACCTTACCCTAGAGTTACCAGCAAGTATGACAGAGGGCTAAGCACCTTGGCCAAGCCTGGAAGACGATGAGCATCTCCCAGTGACCCAAAGACAGTCTACTATTTGTGTTTCTGCATGTAACAGCTACATGTGAACAAAATTTACACACAGGAGGCTGGACTTTGTGCTAGAATCGGGGGTGATCTGGGTTGGAAAGAACACTGGATGTGACCTCAGAAGAGTCACATTAGCTGTCTGCTAATTATCTCAATCAGGGATGAGGAATCTGAGGCTTTGAGGCCACATGTAGGCCTCGAGGTCCTCAAGTGCAGCCCTTTGACTGAATCCAGACTTCACAGGACAAGTTCCCTTAATAAAAGGATTTGTTTTGTAAAACTTGGACTCAGTCAAAAGGCCGCAACCAGAAACCTAGAAGGCCACATGTGGCCTGGAAGCCACAGGTTTCTAAACCAACTACTAAGCATTTGAAGTAAGAAGCACAATTATCCTTTTATTAATAGATCATCAAACTGAAATAAAGAAGTTAAGAGACATTCTCATGATCCCATGATAACCTGGCACAGTCAGGATTTGAACCTAGGTATTCTGAATCCAAGTTCAATGCTCACTCTACCACCCCACACAAAGAGCTCCCTACTTCACATGGCAGAATATGCGACTTCAAAGCAGGGCATACTTCAATTCTGACTTTGTATCTCCAGCCCCAACACAGAGACTGGTACATGGTCAGCCCTTAATGAATGCTTGCACAAAAAGAAATTTGACCATTTTATGAAACTTTCCCCTGAATATAAAAGTCTTATAACAATGTTAATGGCTTTTTTTTTAAGATTCAAATCTTACATGGAAAAAAGACTCAAAAACCTATGCAAATTGGGACAGCTAGGTGGTATAGTGGATAGAACACCAGCCCTAGAGTCAGGAGAGCCTGAGTTCAAATCCAGCCTCAGATACTTACTAGCTGTGTGACTCCAGGCAAGTCATTTAACTCTGGTTATCTCCAAAAAGAAAAAAAAACCTCATGCAAGTTGCATTTCAGACCAGCCAATGGACAACCCAGAAAAGCCTCACAGAGTATCTAGAGAATTGCTGGTTAAACTTTTTATCTCACTGGCAAGAGAACTAGGAGAAAATTTGGCAAGACAACGTAATAGAATGGAAATAGCCCTGGGGTGGAAGTCAGAAGACCCACCGAGTTTAATTCCTTACTCTGAATACTACTCCTGCCACTAACTAGTTATGATCAAGTCACTTTATCTATGGGTCTGGCTCCTCATCTGTAAAAACGAGGCCTGAATTAAATGATCTCTAAGATCCTTTCCAACCTCAACATTCTATAAATCTATCAATATTTGGAATTTGTCAACTTGTATATGGGAAAACAACAGATTGGCAGAGATGATAAACAAGGGAAAAGGACAAATGTTGGAGGGTCTGTGGGAAAACAGGTACATTAATTCCCTGTTGGTAGAGTTGTGAACTGGTCCAGCCATTCTGAAAAGCAATTTAGAATTGTCCCCCAAAGCTATGCATATCTTTTGGCCCGGCTATTAGCCCTATAACCTGAAGAGTTAAAGAGGAAAAGGACCCATATGTACAAGAATATTTTTAGAAGCTCTTTGTGGTAGCAAAGAATTGGAAATAGATAGAAGTGGCCATCAATTGGGGAATGGCTGAACACATTATGGTATGTGTATATTAGAGAATGCTATTGTTGTAGGAAACGATAAAGGGGATGGCTTCAACATGGGAAGACTTGTAGAACTGGTGCAGAGCGAAGTGAGCAGACCTGGTGGCTCATTTATACAATTACAGCAAAAACAACAACAACTTTGAAAGACTTAGGCACTCTAATCAACAAAATGACCAACCAAAATTCCAGAGGACTCACGGTGAAATATGTTACCTAACTGCTAATAGAGAGGTGATGAACTTGGCATGTAGAGTGACACATTTTAGGGTGCAGGTGAGGCATGGTCAAATGCAAGAATTTGTGTTATTTGATTCTATATGTTTGTAAGAGGAGTTTTGTTTTTCTTGCTTTGTCAATTGGGGAGGGAGAGGGAGGGAGGAGGGAGAGAATGCAGATCTGAAAAAATGATAGAATTTTAAAAACTCCATCCGGGGGGCAGGTAGGTGGCACAATGGATAGAACACTCGCCCTGAAGTCAGGAGGACCTGAGTTCAAATCTGGCCTCAGACCTAACACTTGACACTTACGAGCTGTGTGACCCTGGGCAAGTAACCCCAATTGCCTTTAAGAAAAAAAAAAAAAAAAAAACTCTATCTGGGAGAAGCAAGGTACTGATGCAAAATTCCAAAGTCTCAAGCAAAATGAAAGTAATACTGAAGATATAAAAGGGATAAATCCTGAATATGTTGTTCAATGACTGCAAGCTTTTCCTAGAAGAATCTTTTTTCTCCACACACTATCTCATAGTAGTTCATAAAAGTCCTAGGTTGCATATCTTCTTTTTATGTGAGCCAGGTAGTAATGAAATTTAAGATTTAAAGGACTTTTCCAACTCTGTAATTTCTACAAGGTCTAAAACCCAACAGCAAGAAGAGGAGTTTATTTTATGATCTAGTTTTTTGTTTTTTTTTATGAAAAGGTAAAGTCAGAGAAAATAGAATTCAAACTTAGTAGCACATAAACAATTCGTGTACAATGGTTTATTACTATATACAGCTTCAAAAATAAAAGTTCCTCAATTCTGAGTAAGACAGCAAGAAACACCTTTGATGGTGTTGAAGCCAGAGGAAATTTCCTTGTAGAGCCAATGTTTTCCTTTTCTGGGAAGAAAAATGTACAATAAAAAATATAAATAAGAACTTCAATGAGCCAAACACCAGAAGGAAATCTCAGCCTGGGCACTGAACTCTCCAGGGAGCTTACAATGGCTGGAACAAGTGAAACAATGAACCCAATGGATTCTTAAACTTCAGCCTTCAATGAATGCCCTCGACATGCCTTCCCAGCCAGCCCACTCCTGTGGATATATGGCACTGCCAGGTAGCTCAGATGCCATTCTTCACCAGCTCGTGAACACCGTTCTCATCAATGATTAAAGGAGCATGGAATTCTTTTTCTGCCACATAACTTTCAAGGCCCTAGAGGTAGAGAAAAAGAAACACAAAGTTAGAAATCTGCTAGGCTTACTCTCAGTAACAAAGAACTAAAGGGAGGGTATCCTAAGTTGGGCTAACATATGGAAACTCAAAAAACCAGTGAGAATCTATGAAATACAGGTTTCAGAAGCAGGCTCACTGGCCCAACATGACTGAATCTTAAAACCTAAAAAGAGGGAATCAGTCTATGATTATGTTACAGTTACTTAACCTCAAAGTGCAAGAAGACAACAACCATTCTTTCCATCCATCCCCATTACCCAACATGGCTGTTTCTAGCAGGAGATGGTCTTGGAAGACAGACCTACAACACTGCCTGAGTGATGCTGCCAAAGAACACAGTAAGAAAAAGCACCCAAAGAGGTCTAGAACATCTCCATTTGCAAGATTTAAAAAACTGAACAGACTGTGCATCTAAACAAGTTGCATTATTAAGGATTAAAGTTACGATGCATTAAACAGATACAAAGACAATCTATTTTAAAACAACACCATTCTGGGGGACAAAGTGTAAATGGAATCAGTTAGGCCCCAATGACACCCAGAATAGCAGCCAATCCAACCCCACGACAATTTCATCATCAGCATTTCATGTGTACAGAGCATGGTGCTGAGCTCTATGGTGGGGTGTTGGGAAGGAAGTTCAGAGGCCTCAAGCTTGTAGTTTACTAGCATCAAACCATGCTTGTGGCTTTGATACAGAGTTTTAATGGCAGAGGAATCCAGATGCAGGGATTCGTAACCTGGGGTCTGAGAACTCAAAAAATTTTTTTGGATAAATGTATTTTATTAGAATTGGTTTCCTTTATAACTCTAAGGATTTAATTTTATGCATTTAAAGACATTAGGGAGAGGAGTCCATCAGCTTTACCAGACTGCCAAAGGGGGCCAGGACACACAAAAGGTAAAGAGCCCCTGAGACTGAGGACATCCAAAACAAATGCAATTTCTTGAATTTGCTCCCATAACACAGCTTTATTCTGTGGGTATACTTAGAATATTTATGACAATTCTATGTTCTATGATGTTTTTGCAGACAGATATAAACTTAAGTAAAACTTGAGGCGTGTGGAGGCGTATAATTAGAGAACTTACTTCGCCAGCATAGGAGACAAGAGGCGAGATTTCACACTGAATGGGTAGGTCGTTGGCATCCTTCAAGCTAAAAAAGAGAATAGCACCAACATCAAAAACTCCACTTCTTTAATTATTTACTAGATTGGAAAGAGATAAAAGCCTGAAACTTTCTTGAAGTCTGGGAGATAACATAGGTAACTCACTGTTATATTCCATATCAGCACCTGCACTCACAATGCATTCAATGAATACATTTCACATCAACAATAGGTCCGAGACTGAAAAATGCTAAATTCATGGGAAGTTACTTCATATATTGTCTTCGTGGTCATAAAATCTATCAGGGACACATGCTAGCGACTTGTTGTTCAGTTGTTTCAATCGCGTCCAACTCTTTATGACCCCTTTTTGGGGTTTTCTTGGCAAAGACAGGGGAGTAGTTTGCCATTTCCTTCTCCAGTTCATTTTACAGATGAGGAAACTGAGGCAAACAGGGTTAAGTGACTTGCCCAGGGTCACACAGCTATTTAAGTGTCTGAGGCCAGATTTGTACTCAGGGAGATGAGTCTTCCTGACTCCAGACCTGGCACTCTATCCACTGCACCACCTAGCTGCCCTATGTTAGTAATAATGGATAGCATAAAGTTGTTCACATTAGAAAAAGCTATTCAATGGCATTACTATTTAAATTACTTTGTTCATATTAACACACCCTAACCTCTCCTACATCTTAAAAATATTCTTCTGATTTCCAAAAACATCATTAGCCCTTTATGTTATTTCTCAGTACCTGCTTTTCCAGAGAGATGGAGATAAAAGGGCAAATGATAGGTTTTTCAAAGAACTGGTCATTTTACTTGCAAAGTAGTTCTCTGCGCCTATTACCTCCAGGTGCTAGCACTTTCACTTTGATGAGCTGTTTCTTACCCTTTCCATCAAAAAGACCTCTTTTTCCTCTACCCCTATTTTGCCTCTTCTCTCTTTCCTAATCCCCACTTCCATTCAATCTTGTCCTCTGGCTCTAAGGAACCCCCCCCCCAAAAAAAAACAATTTCAGCCTCTCATGACTCTGTTTTAGGAGAAATTTTAAATTAGACTTCATTGGTCCAAATGACAATATTAAAAAGGTTTAAGTACTAAAAAATGAAAGTGACTAACACTCAAACTCTTATTTTAGTTGAGATTATTAGACGCTATAAGGCAGACATATAAAGAACCATTGCTTCCTTTTATAATGGCAGCTGCTGAAACCCAATGATGAGAGATCTGGCGTGAGAAACCGAGAAGATGGTATATCAGCCAACAGTTTTTTAAGAGATCAAAAGGAGATGCTCTGACCATTCACTAAAATGAACCAAAACAATGAGCTCTTTTCCTCCTGGACAAGTGCCATCTTACAGGATAACTGTCCTGATTAGGAGTGGATGGCCCTTCACGTACATTCATCAGGACTCTGGAGGGAATTCATGTGTACTACTCTTGTCAAGACCTAACTGTGTCACAGTGGTGGGAGAAAGCTCATGGGTGAGGTTGATTTCATAGCTGCCCTATTAAAAAAAAAAAAAAAAAACTTCCCTTCCCAGAGGCCGTTTTTCCAATTTTTTTCATTTCCCAATTCATTTTACATTTGCATAAAAACTTAAAAGTCTAACTCAAGCCTAAACATCTTCAGAGTACATAAAAATGATTGAGCTGACTCTTCAGGTGCAAAGATGTTGATTTCATCACATTCTGCACTAGACACCATGCTGGAGAAGACATATCCTGGTTTTAGCTGAAAACTCCTTATCAGCATAATGGGGTAAAATTTTCACTTTGTCATTCTGTTCACAAAGAAAGTAAAACTAATGCACAACGACTCATGAGAAATTTCATTAAAATTCAGGTCCCTGAAATGAACGTCCATGTCTCAGATGAGAAGTCATTTTTCTGTAGGCAACACTTTCTTCTCCCACACAAGCACAATTCTCAAAGCTAGGTGTAGAGAATGCAATTTTTATCTATAGTGATGCCCCAGAGGGAACTAGGAATCCACGCTGACCATTGCTAGCTTATAACCTGCTCTCACTCTGCAATAAACCTATCCACTGCAAACCTGACCACCCCTTGTCAGATTCTTTAGTAAAGCATGCCCCCGTTCCATCATGCACAGCGATTGTCTGCATTAGTGTGTGTTCTGCTACCAGGGAAGCAGTGCACCCCACCAAAAGCTCAAGTCATTCTCCCCCAATATGTCTCGTAGCTATTCAGTACTCTGAGCCGCAAGGCCTGTAAGTACCCAGGGAAGCATAGCCCCATCACCATGCACTGCAGGCAGCCAGGTATATTTACTTGTGATTGACATCAGCTGTGAGCTTCTCTGACTTTCCATTTGTAGCATGGCTATGTGGGAATAAACAAGCATTAATGAGAATGAATACAAATAAAACAATAATAGTGAAAGACAATGAGTATACAAGACACTTGAGCGACCCACTGGTACTTTGTTATTAATGCTGAAATTACAAGTAAGACAAAGAAAACCAAAGGAAAAAAATCCAATGAACAAAGCTACAACAGTGATCTACTTCAGCATACTCATAGGTCAACCTTGTTGACCCTTATGCAGAAGTTTGCCGACCTTTTTCCATGAACTGAAAGAGGTCACATTCCCTCTTACAATGGAAACATGGTATGGGCGTGGACTGTATGAAACACATATCACACAGAAGAGATTTTATCTATCGTCTAGTCTAACTCCAGTCTGAATCATGAATCCCATCTACAAAATCCTTGCCAGGAGAGCTCTCTAGCTCTAAGTCAACATCTCCAGTGACAAGGGCTTGCCATCCACAAACACCCCCAGGCAATCAAGTCAAAGTGTGTTATTGGAGTCAGGACTTCAGCAGTAACTAAGTCTTTTAAATATAAAATATGAGAACCACGCAGTTTAAAGGTTGTATCTTTCTCATCGTTTCATCTGGATCTTGAATACTTCCAGTGATTACTAACTCTGACAATCCAAAGTAGTATGGGTTCTTCATCCAGGACAGTCAGGGCACATGGATGGAATGCACTTCCCTCCAGGGCATCTATGTGTCACACTTAGTACTGTGGTGACCCAATTCACCACTCTTCTGAGACCTCTGTGAAGGTGAGGGGAGCTCTGGTGGATTCCAGAGGATGTGCCTCGAACAGTCACATTTCTACAGTCGCCAAGCAGCTGTTTCCAAGGAACCAAGAGGTACAGGAATGTGAGAGAGAACTTAAACCATGGTGGGGAATACCACAGAATGGAGATAAGAAGAGGAGCTGGACTTCTGATTTCCTTGGGTGAGGAAGACTCCTGGGTGAGGAAACTCCCTCTACCAATGCAAGTTGGCACCTTCTTTGCAACTGAAAATCTTAGAGAGTTGTCTCAAGCTGTGGCATCAAACTCAGACAGAAACAGAGGATCTCCGAGGACTACATACTGACTTAGAAAACCACAAATTAACATTATCTATGTTGTGCTGTATTTTTATTTTGTTTTGTCAAATATCTCCCAATGACATTTTAATCTGGTTTGGGCTGCACATGGGATTCTGCCCTAGCTTGGGAAGGACAGGCACAAGTCTGACACTTTTGGCCTAAAGCCCCAGGGTGATAACAGCCAAAAATGTGTCCGAGATAGGACTTGAACTCAAGTCTTCCTGGCTTCAGGCCACTTCTCCGTCCACTACAGCATGTTGCCCCTTTCACCACATCAAAAGTGTATGGGATATAAAAAGAAAGTACTTGTCATCTACTGTTCAATAGGTAACTAATGATAAGATGGCATATTATGATAACAAGAGATTCAGGGTAGTTAAATCTTTAACTGGAAAATAATCTAGTTTTCTCTGAGGCAATCATCACAGCCAAATTCTTCACATGAAGAACAGCTCAAATCTCAATTATCCCCTTTCTAAAAGAGCGGAGAATAATGGACTATGTGAAAGAGAAAGTAGGAAGCTGCACAGTCCCAAGGGAAATGCCCAGGGTCACAGAGTGGGCAGGAGCTGTCCTTACCGAGGAATGGCAGGAAGACGAGACCCATTTTCATCTATGAAGTGGCCCCCAGCGTTGAGGACCCAGCAATGATGCAGAGACATTAACGCATGCCGCGCAGTCGTAGGGTTGTCCTTCCCATTCTGACTGTCTGCATTCTTCAAGGGCGAGAATTCATCTTCCCGCAATACTTCATATACCACAAACTTCCTGGAGTAGAACCATAAGAGACAGTTATGAAATAACACAAGCCTAGCTATCTCCCGACCTAATAACGCTCTTCATCTTCAATACTGTGCTCTCAATTTTATCCCAAAGGAATGCTACATAAATTAATGCTTACAGATCAGTTTCAATCCTTCACACTGGAAACCTGATATTTTTCTTTCCAACGCGGAATTGAGGTGGTTATGTTCATGTCTCAAATGAAAAGCGTATTTCAGAAAAATGAGAAATCCTAACGTGAGGAAAGACTATGGTAAAATTTGTTTTGAGCCAAAAGTATCACAAAGAAAGAGGCCAAAGGATCTCTTAGACATACTGATGGAGAAGCTATTCAGAGCGAGGGAAATGCTAGCTCTTCTCCTCTTATATTAACCAAACTCTGAGAAGCTCATTTCAAAGTAGAAATGTTATCTGCCTCAGAGAGCTCTGCAGTTTCAAAAATTCGCAATGAGACAAACACTTATTCACAGATCAGAAATAGCCTCTAAATACAAAACAGTCGATTCTTCATCTTAGCCACCACAGGCTTGGAACCAAAAGAAACAGTTCAGTTTGGAAGGCAGCCAACCAGATAAGGTCAGTGAAGAATCCAGGAATTTATCCCGTGGACGGCTCTAACCAAACTACCAGGAGGGCAGAGATACTAAGTCTGGATTGAATACTTGTAATCAAATAACCATGTCTGGTACCACAGACATAATATTAGCTTATCAAGTGTTTCTTTGGGGGCAGCACGGTGATTAAGAGATGGCATTACGTTTGTTTAATCTTGTTTGGGCACAGCAGAAAACATACTTAGCAAACTGAAAGATGTCGAAGACAAATTTTTCCATCTTTATCCCATTTGGTTTGTCTGGCTTAATGAGCTGCCCCTGGGTATCCACATATGGAATCTTCTTCTGAGCCACGTGGTGCTGCAACTGTGGCTCATAAATGCTAGGTGGGGAAAAGAATGAAGTCATCAGCTTCCAGACTTGGAATGTTGGGTAATCTATTTCTATTACATCCGTTACCCAAATTTCCAAATCCAAATGTGTCTTAATCATTTAGAGCCATTCAACACCAAAGCTCCCAGGAATGAAATGCTAAAAGTATCCAGTACCAACTATTAAGTTTCAACTCACTTCTAAATTATAAAATCAACAAACTTGCCTATGCATAGGCTTACATTATTCACATTAAAGACACCAAAAATATAGCACAAATTTATGAATCTGGCCTCATGTTTTGGTTCTTTTTATGTTTTCCTTTTAGCCCAACCTGTTTTAATCAGGAAGAAGATATCCAGGATGGCAAAGGGACCACAAACAATACCACATGGTTAGTGTCCAATGCTACGTTCTTCCCAGCAATCAAAACATCACAGGTGAACATTTACTATTAACACCCATTATTACTACCAAATGTTAAAAGTTGCTCATTTAAAACATCACTAGCTCTGCAAGATTACAGGACAGGTGCTCTTATTATCTTAGCATAACTACAAAGAAATATGACATGATGCAAGAGCCCATCTGAGTAAGGCAATGTCTCTCCCTCTCCTCAATTCACACTCCCCAGATGCCTTCTGCCACTACCCCCACCTTCACCCCATTTCACATTACAAAGTGACCCTTCTCTTTGCCAAAGCAAACCTCTCTGCGTGAACAAGCAATCCAATTCCATTTCATCTTCCCTTCTACCATCCCCCATTCTCTCACTAATCCTCAATCTCTCCTTGTCTATTGGCAGCTTCCCTACTGCCCACACACATGACCTTGTCTTTCTTAACCTCCAAAAAAAAAACCCGAAAACCCAAAACCCTCATTTGATCCATCCATCCCTGTATTTATCATCCCATCTCTGTCCTCCTTTTGGGGCTAAACTCCCTACAATAGGTGACTCCACTTCTTTCCTCTCACTATCTTCTTATGACTCTACAGTCTTGCTTCCAATCTCCCCGTGCACCTGAAACTGCTCTCTCCAAAGTTACCAATGATCTTTTAGTCGCTCAATCGAATGGCCTTTTTTCCTCAATTCCCATCTTTCTTGACCTCTTTTTTGATACTCTCTTCTCTCTAGGTTTTCAGGACACTGCTCTCTCCTGGATTTCCTCAGTCTCTTTTGCTAGATTTCCATCCAGGTCATGCCCACTAAATGGGCGCCCCCTGGGTCTCTGTCCTGGGCCCTCCTCTCCTTTTTAAAATACTTGGTGACTCCATCATCTCCAAGGAATTCAATTATCATCTCTATGCGAACGATTCTCTTATCCTGGATTCTGCTTATCCAGCCCTAACTTCTGTACTAACTTAAGTTTCATATCTCCAACTGCCTATTGGCCATCTCAAGCTACATGTCCCACAGACAACTTAAACTCAACATGGCCAAAACGGAACTCATTCTCTTTCCCTCCAAGCCCTCTCCTCTTCCCAGCATCTTTACTATTGTGGAGGATACCATCCTCCCAGTCACCTGGACTCCTCATTCTCACCACCCATATCCAATCTGTTGCCACTTTCTTTTTGACCTTTGTAACCTCTAACATCCCCTTGCTACCTGTGACACTGCCACCCCCTGCAGGCCTTCATCACCTCATGCTTGAATTACTATAATTGCCACTAGTTGGCCTCTCTCCTTCAGATCTCTCCCCACTCCAGTCCATCCTCCATTCAACCATCAAATTGATCTTCCTAATGCACAGATCTGACAATGTCACCCCTCTACTCAACAGGCTCCAGGGGCTTCCTATCACATCCAGGATCAAATATAAAATGCATTCAAAGCCCTACATAACCTGTCCCTCCCTTCCTCCCCACTACTCCATTCTCTTACACCTTACAATCCCTCATACCCTGCGATCCACTGACGCTGGTCTAACAACTTGGCATTTTCACTGGCTTCCCCCTCATGCCAGGAATTCCTTCCCACCTCACCCCCACCTCCTGGCTTCCCTGGCTTCTTCCAAGTCCCAGATAAAATCCCATGTTCTACAGGGAGCCTTTCCAAATCTCCCCTTCCTTCTCTGCTGATCAATTCCAGTTTTTTATCCTATATTTCTCTTCTTTGTACAGAGTTGTTTGCATGTTGTCTCCCCCATCAGACTGTAAGCTTGAGAATTACAGTCTTTGTATCCCCAGGGCCTAACACGGTGCCTGACACACAGGAAGCACTCAAATATTTACTGACAATATAGCTATAATATTTCAATGTTTCAAATGATCTCTAATCTCACTGATGTGGACATTTCCTCCAGCAAAGGAGTTAGTGTGGCCAAATTCATCACTGGGTGATCAACTTCCTACTATTCAGCTTTTCCAAACTTAACTAAGATGGTTCTTACACAAAACAATAATTTTATTAAGTAATAATAAAAATCGTTTACATTTATATATAGCTTTGCAAAGCACTTGGCATATTCATTACCTCATTTAATCTTCATAGAACTATCAGGGAGGGGCAGGGTAGGAATAACTACTCCCACTTTACAGACAAGGGAATGATTTTGGAATGTGTAAATAATTTATCTCCACTCATATAGCTGGTAAACCTGCCTCCCTTGCTCCCTCAGAGGGTTACTGTAAAGATCAGGTGAGATTATGGATATGACAGATGAATATGGATATGCACAAATGTAACATGTCAGGGTGATACTGCCCACAGGCCAGTCTGAGTCTCCTGACTCCTGATTTGGGAGGTTCCTACTTCAAGGTTACAGATGGAGAGTAAATGGGAGGAGCGAGGGCTCTGGAAGGTCCATACTTGACCACATCTCTCAGGAAAGGCACAGTGAAGAAATGATTGGCAATGTTCCCTGCATTGAACAGCAGCCGTCCATCGGGGTTTCGCCTCTGGGCTGTGGCCAGTGAGATTTCACTATATTCTACCACCTGGTAGACACCATCAACTCTACACACTACCCCAACAGGTTCCGTAGGGTTCGTCTTCTCCACAACCTGCCCACAAGTGAAAGAAAAGAGAACATACTCAAATGCTGCTGACTTGCTTCAGCATCCTTTACTATGGTTTTATTAATTAGTATTTCTCTGCTAGTAAAAAATAAAACAAAACAAAACAAAATAGAACTTCAGAGTCAGAGATTCTTAACCCTGGGTTCAAAAACTTTTTAAGAAATTTATTTTGATAATTCCATTTCTAAATAATGGGTTTCCTTTGTAATACTATGTATTTTAATTTTTGCTTTTTAAAATATGATTCTTATAAGGGGCACAAAGATTTCATCACACTGCCTGCCCTAAGGAATCCATGACACAAAAAAGACAAAGAACTTCTGGTTAGGAAGAATGTCAGGCTGGTCCTCAATCATTAGACATGTTATCCTTTGCCAAGCCTAGAGGGAAAGACTTCGGAGAACCTAACAGAGACTATACTCCGTTAGAATAATTTTTAAGAACTCAGGGTCAGCTCCACACCATGATGGAACATCAGACTAGTGATATGATGGAGCAGAAGAAATAAAGCACTAGATCACCTAGTCAACCTGGATTAGCTGAATATCTTTACGTGTTTTCATACAGAATATTTCTTAATTTCATATGGAAATAAGCTGTCTCCTTCCTAGTCAGCTTGCCTAATTAGAAATCTCCAATTAGAAGATTCATTTTTAAAAACACATATATAAATATATAAAATTCAATATACATATTGAATATACATACTACTATGAATAAACCATACATATATGCTTAAAGGAAAGTAGACTAGAAATAATTAAACCTGGAGTTTAATCCCCATTCTGACATTAAATATGTGCCTGCAATCAAATTACTCTATCCATTAATGGTTTCTAAATCTATCTGAACCTAACCAGAGTTAATCAAAAGATAAATGAAATATCACGATTCTTTGGGATTCACAAGAGAAAGGTGCTTCAGGAATTGACACTATTCTCATTTTATTATCCAAATATTTCTAATATGTTATTCTCTTCCCAGTACAAAAGTTACTCATCATTCCCACCTAGGTGCTTGCTACTTCACCACTAATGAGCTATGATTAGGGCAGCCATTCCACATCTCTAGGCCTCAATGATCTTAACTGTACAATGAAAAGCCTGAGCTAGATGGCTTCCAAAACCCATTTTAATTCTACTCATTTATGCACATATCAGTTATGATGATCATTCTATGACTCACAATCAATGGACACTCAGACAAGCAAAGAGTCTCAAAAGCATACAGAATGAATACCAACCAGCTGGATACCCTTGACCCTAATGCTGGCTTTAATGTGTGGATCAGAGAAAAACAACTGAACTCCCAACCAAAAATGACACCAAAGTGCCAGGTATTGGGAAGAAAGAAGGAGAAGAAAAAAGCAAGAGGGAGAAATAATTTCCCAAGAGCATAACCAGTTGGTTTTGTATGTAGAACCATCTAGGTGACGTGACTGTACAAGAAGGCAAGTTGAAGTCTCATCCTAGAAATAAAATTGGCATTCCTGTCATATTCCTGTTTACACAAAACACAGATTTAACATTCCAAACTCAAAATATGTGTGTCAAACAAGGGCTACAATATGTACTGAAAGCATCAGAAGACCTTTCTTAGAGGCTTAACAGAACATCATGAGGAGTATAAAAGGCACATACAATCACATTTCAGATAGAAAAATGAAAGCAAACATGCAATGGAGCACAATGGATACTGGAAGATTTAAGAACTTTGGTTCATTTGAAGACATTTCTTGGTTCTACCAATTTATAACTTAGGTTGCTTGAAAAAAAAACCTTTTTAGTTCTAACCCAAGCTGAAGAACCTTCAGTTTGAAGTAAATGCTCATGAGAGGCAGAGTGGGAGAGTGGATGGAACACAAGAACGCCAAGAAGGCCTGGCTTCTAACACCGTCTCTGACACTCACCAGGTCTAAGATCACAGGAAAGTGACTTAGCCCCTCAGCCTCAGGGTTGGTCCTCATCTATAAAATGGCAGTCACCCCACCTGAGGAAACTACCTTACAGGACTGTGGCAAGGCTCTATCTAATAAGCTAAACTCCAAAATAGTGTATGATTGTTATATTACATAACGTCATATATGTAATAAAGTGCCATGTATTATTATTAAGTTGGATCCAAAGAATCCTTTCATTAGGTTAAATAAACTATTCTTCCATACTATGATCATAAGAACCAAACACAGTCTGTGATGACACTGTTAACTAAGAGAATCTACTGCCAGGCCTTCCATTAACAAACCAGTGACAGATTGATGCACTTGCTCTGACCAGCCCCTAGGACCACTTCTTACATTAGCGAGTTTCACCACAGAGCTACCACGGAGCTCATCTGGAAGGAACCTCAGAGGACAATTGGAGCAACGCTGAACCAAAAGGTAAGCTTGCTGGAAAGATAAAGCTGCATGGCAAATATCTATAATGAACCAGCCCTCATCCAGGTCATTAGCCCATTCATAATAATTAAGGGATGACAAAGACCAGCACTGTCTGATATAAACCCTAGATCCAAGGAGGGCTCAAGAGTTCATAGGAAGGACTGAGAGGATACCAGTAAATTATATGTGTGTGGGTATGCATGTGTGTATTTATATATGTATATGTATATCTGTATGCATATATGTATATATATTTTTAAAAATTTTCCCCAATTACAAGTTAAAACAATTTTTTAGTTCTGGGAGCAGCTAGATGGTGCAGTAGATAGAGCACCGGCCTTGGATTCAGGAAGACCTGAGTTCAAATTCGGCCTCAGATCAAACACTTGACACTTACTAGCTGTATGACCCTGGGCAAGTCACTTAACCCCAATTTCCTAAAAAAAAAAAAGAAAAGTTTTGAGTTCCATATTCTATCCCTCCCTTTCCCCTGCTCCACTGAGAGGGTAAGCAATCCGATGCAGGTTATACATGTATAATCATGTATCATACGGATAACAGTAAATTCAAACAGTATGGGATTCTCTTAAGAAATTCTACAGAAACAAAAATGATTCCAATGAAGATAAAAAGTTTTTGAAGAGATTAATGTGGCTGCACAAGGAACTCATCACAACTCAGATTTCTGAAAAGACATCCACGGACCCAATAGCTAAGTGGTCAAAAGACATGAACAGTTTTCAAAAGAATTGCAACACATCAATAACCATGTGAAAAAGTTCCCCAGATAACCAATAAGTGAAACAAGAATTAAAACTGGGTGGCAGCTAAGTGACACAGTGAACAGAGTACTGGCTCAGGAGTCAGGGGACCTGAGTTCAAATCTGGCCTCAGACACATAACACTCACTAGCTGTGTGACTCTGGGCAAGTCACTTAACCCCAATTGCCTCACCAAAAAATAAAATAAAATAAAACTGGAAGGTTCTACTTCATACCCATCAAAATGGCAAAGATGACAAAAGTTATAAAGTCAGAGCTGGTAGCTAGGGCTTGGGAAGAAAGCCACCCGAATGCACTGTTGGTGTCACTGCGAATCAGTCTACTCTAACCAATCTGGGAAACAACTGGGAATTAGATGATTGACTGGGTTACACAGGCTCGAAAATAATCATCTTCACACGATAAGTCAAGCTAGAGAGAGGTTCTGAAAAAAGATAACGGCAGTTTTAAGGGACTGCTAGTTTTAGATAATTTGAGAGCCAAGAGAACTGATGTGATTTTAGGACGCATTAACGAGAAGCCTGGGGTCCAGAAGGAAGGAGGTGATGGTTTCATTATATCATAGCAGCATCAGAGCAGTCTCTGGAACATCGTGTGCAATTCTGGACACCACATTTTAGGAAGAATCATATGCTGAGAACTTCAGAAAGGGATAACCAAGACAGTGAAGGGTTTCAAGTTCATACCATATGAGGATCTGATGAAGAAACTGAATGTGTTTCCCTTCAAGCAGGGAATATTTAGGGACTATGGAATCACTGTCCTCAAACATCTGAAGGCTGCTACAAGATTAGACTTGTTCTGCTTGGATCCAGAGGACAAAACTTAGAGCAATGGGTGGAAATTGTGAAGAGGCAATTTAGGCCTGATGTAATTAAAAACCTCCTAACAACACTACTGAAAACTGGAATGAGCTCTCTGGGAAAGGAGTGTGTTCCTTCTCCTTGGAAGTCTTCAAGCAGCCCCTTGTCAGGTGTGCTGAAAAAGGCTCTATTAGATACCCAATGACAATCATCCACACCCACCTTTCTTGCTACCTTTCCAGATTTAATCTTTTTGTTTTCTAGATATGTGTATGCAGCACTTTTGTTCCCAGACATAACATCTCACATCCTCTGGGGCCCTGTAGGCTTCCAACCTGGGGCTAAAATCTGGACTAAGTTCAGACATTCAATCTCCTTCCATTATAACAAATGTTTCTTTGGCATCTTTAACATTACCAATTTCTTTCAGCAGTGAACAGGTGCAAATAAGTAATAAGCTCAAGTTCAGTGATGGGACGATGGAACATTTTGAAACTAAATCGTTTTAAATTTTACCCAGTACCGTGGAACTATTATGAACACATTTTTCTCATTTTACCAGATTTGTAAAGTACTTTATAAAGTAGAAATTTTTATTTTCTTTTTTTTCCATTAGAATATCAACAAATGTATTTTATGGGAAAAAGTAATAGATGTGTATTTATTACTTATTTTTATAGTTTTTTTTAGTACCTTGCACATTTATAGCAGGTGTTCAAAAATGAGTTGGCCGACTGCATATTTCTACTCCAGAGGTCTTTGAAAAAGTTTTCATTTATTTTTACAATATCTTTGTAATAAGAAAAACAGAGGTAGCTAAAAAGTCAACATACTGATACAAGATAATCAGAAAATTAAAAATTTCACATCCATTTCATTATCTCCTATGACTACCATTTTTAAATATCACAAGAAATCACTCCTTGATTTTGTGGCATCGAGGCATAGAGGAGCCTTAAAGGTCACCAAGTCCAGCATCCTCCTTCATGCAGAAATCCCTTCCACAGTGTTCCAGACAGGGGGCCATTTAGCAGCTGGCCCCTGCCTAATCACTTCCGGTGCTATAGAGCTCATCATCCCATGACAGCCCATTCTACTGCTGGGCTGCTCTGTCAGATAGTTCTGTGGTAAAGAAAGCAGAAAGAGCTCTGGACTGGAGGGTCAGGAGACCCAGGATTGAATCAAAGTCCCAACACTTATGTGTGGCCTACATCAATCCATAACAAGCTCTTACTGTGTACTTACTACGTGCTAAGCACTAGGAATATAGAGAAGGAAATTAAATAATACATGCCCTCAGGAAGTTTATATTTTTTGGGGGAAAATGTTTACACAGAGAAGTAAGCACAAAATGGGTACAAAGTAAATTTGGAGAGGGAACACTTAGGAGAAACTAGGGAGGGTCTTCATGTAGCCCTCATGACGTGCTAAGCTTTGAAAGAAGTTAAAGATTCTAAGAGGGAGAAGTGAGCAGGAAGAACAGTAGAGGGATGGGGAAGAGCCTGACCAGAGGCACAGAGATGGAGAAGGAGCAGGCATGCAGCCATGAGCAAGGCAGCTCCTTTGTGTGGAACATGGGAAGAGAACATGAAGGAGAAGATGACGCAACCACCCTGGAAAGGCGGCTAGGCTGGCCTCAGACTAGGAAGGGCTTGAAATGCCAAACAAGGTGTGTCTGCGTGGCTGGGAAGCCCTGGGGGAGTGTTCTGAGTGACTCAGTCAGAGCTGTACCTCAGGAATATATTCATGTCACTTTGGATCTGAACAGAGGCAGGAGAAGCCAGAGGAAAAGAGACTAAACCTTGACCAAGTGAAGGATGAGCTTCTGTTTCATAATCTATAACATGAGAATGAATAATAATCCCTGCACCTCTTATCACGCAAGACTACCCTGGGAATCAAATGAACGAGTAAATGAAAAACATTTATGAAGTGCCAACTACATACCAAGCATATAGTAAGATAGTAAAAGTTCTCTGTAAGCAGAAAAACAGTATACTCAATGACCACAACAATACTGTTGGGGGGATGGGATACTAAATGTTATATCCTTATAATGACCAAGTCTGGCACTGGAGAAGATTTGAGAAAATGCACCTTCCTCCCTTTGTTGAAAAGGTAAGGGACTGTGGTTGTAGAATACGGCCTATACTGAAGCACTGGCTGGTTCTGCTGAACTGGTTTTTACCACTTTCTGTTTTTTAATCTTTGTTACAAGAGATGGCTCACTAAGGAAGGCAAGTGAGAATTGTATATATTCAGGAATGGATATCATGTAAAAACAAAAAGGCATCTTTTTTTGGCATCCACTTTTAAAAGGTATTTTGTGACCTTAAAACATTATGTAAGTGAAAGCTAATATTATAATTATCACATTGAGCCAAAATCCTCCTCTCAATAACTTTCACCCATTAATACTAGTTCTGCCATCCAGAACTACATGAGGGCAGACCTAATACCTCTTTCATATGATATAAAATATCAGTTATTATTATTCCCATAATTATATTGGAACTAATTAAAATTTTCTAAGAATATATCAATAAAACATTTACTACTACAGTTTTTCAAAGTACATAAATCATTTTGATTTAATAAGCCAAAAAACACTGATACATATAGAATTATAAAAAGTATTACTGTTAATGTACTATCAGTCTAACCTGAATTGCCTGGTTTTAAAGACATAAAAAATCATACAATTTGAGTTAGATGGGCCTTAAATGGTCACCTAATCTATTCCATATGAAAAGGAGTCCTTAATGTGTGTTATAATGGCAAAAACAGAACCAGGGGTCAATAATAATAATAACTAGCCTCAATAAAGAGTTTATGTTATTAACAACACCTAATGATGTGGGTGCTATCATTATTCCTATTTCACATGAGAGAGGTTAAGTGACTTATCCAAGGTCATATAACTAACCAGCGTCTCCCAACTAGCACTCAGCCCACTACTCTAGAAGCCATAGGGCCCTTAGATTCCAATGGCCCGAGTTTCAGTCTCAGCTCTAGCACTCACTGTGTGACCTTAGAGACAGTAGATACAGCACTGAGCTTTGAGGGAGGAAAGAGCCGAGACCAGTGCTGTGACTAACTATCTCTGCGACCACAGGACTCTCTGAAACTCAGTTTCCTCATCTGTAAAGGGAGAGGGAAGCAATTAGACTAGATGATTTCTAACGTCCAGAAAGGCCTCTAAATTGTATGATCCCATTCCAAAGATCCCTTCTAGCTTGAAAAGCCCAGTATGCTATGTATGATGCTAAAGCAATGTATGGATATTAAGCAGAAGAGCAGCCCCAAGCGGACAGAGTGAGAACTACATTTTGTTTCCATTAGTGGACCTTGGATGCTTCCTATCTAAACAGGGATGACAAATAAAATCAATTTTAGATCTATAAGGAATAGATTTTAGAAAGAGAAAAAAGGAAGTCTTATCAGTCCTATGAGCTCTGTCTCTCCAGAGACCCCTAGCTTCTATTTGTGTATGTGCTATTATTTTAATATTTTAAGAATTATAATTGTCAGTATACTTCGAACTTAGATGATATTTGAGGGTTGCTGTGTCCAAAAAAAAAAAAAAAAATACCCCACAGCCACTCTGCTAACTGGGCTAGGCTGGTATTAGAGAACAGGAAGAGTCCATGGCCAGGCCACACTCAAGGCCTTTCCAAGCTAGGTAGGGCCTGCCAGAGTTTATGTTCTGCTGGTAGAGTCTTTGAGAACCCAATGCCAGGGTGCCGCAATGAGGCATAAGAGCAGGGCTTTAATGTCATGCTGCGGCATACTTCTAAGTAGTCTCTCCTCACTAGCTAGAGTCTTTGTCCTTATTCCTCACTGTGAGTAACCTTGTTATAGGCAATGGGGTTTTAGAACTCCAATCAAATGGACAGACCTGCCACGGCAACAGAGTGTATTGCTGAATGCTATCTTCAAACCAAGGTTTCCTTCTGCCGGACAGGACAGGTTATTCAAATCTAAATTGCTCTCAGCGGCACAGACAACCAAAAGCAGGCTATGAGGCTATTTGTCCTGACTATGAGAAAAACTAACCCCAGGTCATTTTTTTCAAACTCAAACTCAAATGCATGGTACCACTCACTAACCAGAATGCATTCTCCTAATGCCACTCTAATGAAATATTATGTAGTTCTCATTTTCTCCAGTTCTCGTAAAGTGTATGCTCTTGAATATAAAACAATATCAAGTTCATGATGCTTATTTTCATTACCATAGTTCTTTGATGAATGGCTAGGATTCTCCAAGAACCACTGAAACCCTGGAGAGGAAAAACTGTATGACGTTTTCATAGAGCATATGTAGTACATTGATACATGACATACATAAATATATAAATGTACATGTGTATTCATATGTATGTATGTATGTATGTATATGTTTAATAACTTGACAGGTCCCTGATTCAAAGTCTGATCTGTACTAGATCAGATGACATATGGAAATCAGTCTGGTAAAATGCTGAAAAGTCATCAGCCCTGGCATCAAGAGACCAACTCTACCACTTAATTACTAGCAATATGACCTTGGGCAAGTCACTTCTCCTGTAAAACAGGAACAAGAAGAAGAAGAATCCTGGCCTTAATTGCCACAGGGGGTGGTTGTGAGACTAGTGCTTTATGACTCATAAAGCACTCTGTGAATGTCAGCGATTATCATTATCTCAAACCACTTCAACAGGCAAGTGAAGACTATTTAAAACAAATGGAGGGAAGGCAGCTCAAGCAAAGGTCTTCAGTGGAAAGATCATACCAACCCTTTTCATAGCTACATGTAGATCGCCTTTTCTTCCAGCAAAAGGGCTTACAAAATCTGCCCCCACCCATCTGGAACGTGTTCCTAAAAAATGTCCCAAGCAGGCACCTAGCCAGGCCAGCCCACAATGAGACACTACTCAGAGGGGAGGAGGAATGCTAAGTCATCTGAGTACTCCAGTGGAAAGGGTGCTGGGGGAAGAGGCAGACATCCAAGAGATTCCAGTGCTCGTCTTGTGAGACACCAGATCTCCCTCCTCTCTGGACCTGATTCCTCAGCTGTAAAATGCGGGGGGGGGGGGTGGGGGTGTGGAGAGTCAGACGATCTTCACTCCAGAGATAATGACTGAAGACCTTCACAAAACCACCTTGATTAAAACCTAAGACGATTGTTAACATTATTCTATTGACTCATTGGGGACAAAAATCAAGCCCCCTTGTAGCTAATCCAGGCAGTACATTACCTTTGCTCCACAATCTGCTCCTTTTTGAATGCAGAATCCAATGAAACGTGGGTCTGCTACTTTCACCAAGATGTTGTCAACACAGTAGACATGGATTCCCCAAATGCCCCTTTTCTCCATATCTTCCACAATGCCATGGGCTGCAAGAGCTCGGTAAAGACCACCATTCCCGTCTGAGAAGTAAAACAGTTCAACAGTGAACCAAAGCCTACGAAATGTTACCCAAAAAGTTGTGGACATTTCTAAGTTGATATGAAGACTTCTGAAAACCAAAGTTTCACATTGTAAAGTTTGAAAATCAAATGCTCCAAAAAGAAAGGGGTCAAATGCTAGATGACAATATACTTTTATAAACAATGTTTAACCAAATAAGTAGGACATCATCTAAGTAACTTGGATTTTCTGCCCCTTTTCTTTACTCAGTTCCCTCAAGTGTGTCTTATTTAATAAACTTGTAAAATACCACATTCTTTAAAAAGTAAATGTTATTTCATACAGTTTCAGGTTCTATTAATATCTTCCTGAAATAAATCAATTATGAAGTTACAGCCCCAAAGACACATTCTTCAGCCTCAAAAATATGAATACTTGAAGGTGTCATTCAAAGTCACTTGCCAGTGAATCAAGCTATTGTACTTTACCTTAAAAGAATGGAAATGGAAATAAACTGGTATCTCTTAAAGGGCCCCCCTCCCCAGGCAGTTTCCAGTGTAGTTTCACATATATTTTCTCCCTACAAAGCTAAAGGTGACTTTCAATAATGAGCACCCATCACACTTTTTCACAAAATAATGACCACACTATTGAGGATCTTTAAAATCTAAAACAACCCTAAAAAAAATATTTAGGCCTGTCTGCCTCCAGGTAATCACTCAGCAGCAGCCCATTTTCATCCCTTTTTTTTGGTGGGGGGAGACATAAACATATCAGTGTACTTTTCTCAAAGCATATTGTGTGAGAGGCTTCCTCAAATTATTGATATAAAGGGGAAGGGAGTCAAAAATTCAGTTCTGAAGAAAATGGAGAAAAATATTCTACTCTAACAGAAAGAATTCACATTATAGAACTTAAAGGTATGCAAAACACTTTCCATACAACAACCCTCAGAGGTAGGTGATTCAAATATTATTTTCTCCCCTTGATAGATGAGGAAGCTAAATCTCTTAGTGGTGAAGTGACTCAACCATGGAAACAAAGTTAATAAGTAACTGGGGCAGGATGAGAACCCAGGTCTCCTGACTCCAAGCCCAACCTTTTTTCTACCACATCATACTGCCTTTCAATACAAACTGGAGACTGTTGAAAATTATTAGGTTCAGAGTACAACTGTAAAATCTTTATGAGCAAGTTTAATACGCATATGTTGAGGATTTCTTTAATGTAAGCAGGAGAAGTGAATAGGCAGGGTTTTGTAAATTATTTTCTCCAGCAGACCACAGCTTCACAATCATGTAACTAAGAGAGGTAGAATATATGTGATTTGATGTTTTGTTTTGTTTTGTTTTGTTTTGAATCCTGATTCAGGAGAGCAAAAATGTAAGCCTGAAAGGCTTCCAATTGAGTATATCACACATGTACGTTATATTCCTATGACTTGCACATGGTTACACAGCTAATCACCCTCTAAGATGGGACCTGAACCCTGGCCCTCCTGGTTCCAAGTCTGGAAAAATATCAAGCAAAGCACAAAACTGGTAGGCAAGTGCTCATCAAAGGTGTTCTCCACTGTCATGGAGAATACCCAGTCCGGTCCAAATGGAACTGGGTGACACAGAGGGTGCCCTAAAGATGGTGAAGACCTCCAGATGCTCAGGCTCCATGAAAGGGCAACACATGGTCTTTTACAAGTTTATTAGATAAGACACACTTGAGGGAACTGAGTAAAGTACAAGCCTTGGAACAAGGAGGCCCTGGGTGTGAACCACCTCAACAGCTCCTAGCTGGTTAACCCTGGGCAGGTCACTCACTAGTCCCTCTCCTTCTCTATGAAGACAGCATGATGACAGCAGCTATCTCACAGAGTTGTGAAGATCAAACAAGGTAACATATGTAAAACGTTAGACCTCAAAGTGCTCTATCAAATATCAGCAATCACTGTTATTATTATTACTTTCACAGAGAAAACAGGAGCATTCAAAGGCAGCATCTGTCATTTATCTTGGGTGGGTCTATCTATCATCAGAACACTAAAAACAGATATGCCTTACACATGACCAGAAATGACAGTGGCATGGTGGAAGGTGTCCTGAAGGGGCAGGCAAGACACCTGGATTCTTAACTATGCTTCAGCTACTAACTAGTAGTAACTTTTATCAAAGTCACTTAATCCCTGGATAGAGAAGTAGGGGAAAAGGGGGGGGGTGGCGTGGTGAAGGCATAGTCTGTCTAGATGCAGCAATATAATCCTACTATGATTGTTTGGGAGCAAGGAAGAAATATGTTCATACCAAATGTTCTATGTCCCAAGCACATATCTGTGTTTATTTCATGTGAAATTCATAATCTAGAAAGCTACTTCCTTATCAGTAAACAGCGACAATCTTAGAGTCAGATACAGGGTTAAGAGGGAGAGAAGGGCCAAACCGAGTTATCCAGTGTTAACTGGATACAGCAATTATCAATTAGCACAGTGCTAGCAATGGTCTAAGCATGAGGATCCCGAACAAAGTAAACCTGGAGAGAAAAAAGTTCAGAACAAATCATTTCAACAGGTAAATAGAAAGGAACCACCATGTAGGTGGCAAGATATGAAGAATATGGCTGATGGAGAATCATGCTAACTTAGGCCCCATCTATTAGGATAGCTAGATGGCCCTCAATGGAAGGGAACCCTAGGACAGAATGGCCAATATTTAAAAGGGCAAGACCCACTAAGTATAGACTAGGAAAACAGGCTATTGAGAAAGAGGGAGCGCCCAGAGGACAGAACACCAAGACCCCTGGGAAACACATAGGTTAGGATGGTAAACTTCAGGCGGGAAAGACAGCCTGAATCCCAAAGGGAAGCATTTAATTCTACAGACATTTATTAAACATCTATTATAATCACATAACAATGGCTGTGAAGATAAAAACTGAAATAGCTCCTGCTCTCAAAAAGTTTACATGCTGCTGGATTCTTGGGATGGGCATCATCATCTCACTCCTATAGAGAGACAGGGGATCAGAGAGTCTCAGAGGAGAGAGGCACGATCCTTGGGCAGAAGGTCTAAGCCTAAGATCAAGAGCTTGTTGGAGAAGATGAAGGAAGAGAAGAACTAGACATAAAGATTAGGAAAGGAGATTCTAAGAAAATTATTACATCTAAAGTTTTGCTAATTTTTTTTTTTAACCAAAAACTTTATCAAGTTTCACCAACCTGAACTTACTGGTTTGTGACTGAGATCCATGTTAACTCTGGAATAAGAAATGAGCTATTAGCTAATAGGCAAACGCAGCATATTCCAGTGGAAAGAACAATGGGGTTGTGGTCAGAGACCTGAATTTGAATCCTTCTGCTGCCTGTACAGCTAAGGGCATTTTCCCAAGGGCCTTGGTTCCTCTAAAGAGGGGTTGGAACAGATGCCCTCCGAGGTTTTTTCCAGCTCTATATCTATGATTCTCTGATTCAAATAAAAAGAAGGCCAGGAATAAGAAAAGACTAGCTCCAGTTACAGTTATTTACTCTGCCTAACATCTTTACATGGCTCCACGAAAACACAAAATTTGCTGAACTAATGTTATGGGGAAAATTAGTTCCATAGAAACAACTTTTATGTGCACGCTGCAATGTGAAGAGCATCTGCAGACTAGCCTCAGGAGCATTACTGCCCCTGGCGCTGCCCCAACGCTGGCTCCTGTCAATACTGAACTGTTCCTTTCAGCTGTGTGGGAAAAGCTGAACTAGATTACAAGGGATTTTTGCTGAAGCTGAAGTTTACTGTGAAATGATATTGGACACGACATCTTTATGAGGGGCATTCATGAAGGACCGGATTTTATTTAAAATATTTGCAACAATGTAAATGACTTCTACTGTTATTTAATAATAATAACAATAATAATAATGACAACAATAACAATATTTGTATAGTGAACTGAGGCAGGGTCATACAACTAAATCTAAAGCAGGATTTGAAGTCAGGGTTTCACTCACCAATTATTTCCTTGCCATACCTTGCAATTAAGCCCCTCTAAAATATCTAAAAGTAGGAGAGCATTTCAAAGGAAAAAAAGGTGACAAAAATTATGTTGTTCCCCCCAAAACAAACTTGAATTGAGGAACCCAATAAAAGGGGGAGGGTACCAACTAGGCACCAACACAGGGCACGAGCAATATAGTCTAATGGAGAGCGAATGCCAGTCTGGGGGGGGTGGGAAGGCAATGTAGGCTGATGGAGGTCTCCAAGAAGAGCCTAATGTGCCTTGTCTCTAGCTCTAAAATCTTTATGTCTCAATCACTAAATGTCATGAAGCCTAAGGCCAAACATATCACGTTATCACAAAAGGGCACCGAGACACAACTTTTCCCCAAGAAGTGGAGATGTCTGCGTGCATACACACACATCTCCTCTGTGTAAGCATGCAGATGTCTGGGTGCAATTTAACCTTGTGAAGTTAGAGGGGCATTTAACACACTCCCTGGTATGTATGAAGTGCTTGATAAATGCCAGCTGACCACCTGGAGCTCTCCCAACAAGCAGCAGCTGAGGGGCAGCTTTACATATGAAGGGCAATCGACAGAAGGAAGATAAGGTAGGACTTGGCATCAGGAAGATCTGAATTCAAATTCTGCTTCTGACACTTACTAGTTATGCGACTGGCCAAATCACTCAACCTCTCTGGGTCTCAGTTTCCTCAACTGTAAAATGAAGGGGTTGGATCAGATGGTGTCTAAGGTCCCTTCCAACTATAACTCTGTGATCTTACACTCCTTCAGTCTGCTGTCCTGAAGTCTATGACGGAAGAATGTGACACCCAGAATTCCCTTCCTTCATCCAGGTGTGGTGGCAGAACTGAACTGTTCATTGATGGGTTTTCTAAATTTGCTATCCTGGACATTAAACTGGAAAGTCTCCCTGAGGAAACTGAAAACTCAGAGTTAGAAACCTGAGGCATGCAATGCTCTGGAGGTTAAATGAAGCAAAAAATGGTACCAAATGTAGCACTTGGACAACACAGCCAAGGAAAATGCTTGGGACAAACACTGTGCTCTAAATTTTAGAATAAGTCTGGCTAAATGGAAGCATTGTAAAAGGAAGTCAGGTAAGCACTTATAGGGAAAGGGGACTAAGCTGTGATATAATTAATAGAGGGAACTTCCAGATAAGGGAACTCCCTCTCCTAATGCAAGCTGCTACCTTCTCTGCACCTTCTAGTCTTAGAGAGCTTCTTGGAGCACTGAGAGTATACTATTCTATTAAAAACTCTAATGAGACTGTTGGAGAAAATCCCCTAAGACTGCAAGCATCAAACAGAACCTTCTAGGCCATAGAGGAAATCTCAGAACAAAACCAGAATCACAGAATCTTAAAGTCGGAAGGAATCTTAGATACAACCCAATAAAATCATCCCCTTCACAACATCTGTAACAGTTGGTGAGTGGCCTCATTTGAACACTTTTGGGGACAGGGAACTTACTATCTAATTGAAAGGTAATCCATTCCATTGGCTACTATGTTCTTCTTAAGGTGCCCTACTGGGCCCAGGACCTATGTTCCATGCTTTGCATGCTTCCTTTTACAGCCCAAGCTCAGAGAGACCCTGCTTCTGACAGACACAATGCTTTCCTTAAAAGGTTTCATTAAAATAATTTCTATCCACGTCATCATAATTTCTTTAGTCAGAGCTTTTCAGGCTCCATGAGCCTCCTTCCCTTTCAGAATCTCAGACCATGTCATCATCCCTAGCTTTCTTCTCATCTTTATGAAGTCTATTTTCTAAAAATGTAAGACATAAGTTGAGGCCCAGCATTCTCTTCCTTCCTACTCTAAGACAGTATGGTTATTTTGACTCCAAAGATTATTGGACTCTTCCTTAATGGTCAGTATTAAGCCCAGGGAAGTAGGCTGAGTTATTTTTTCAGCCTTTAGAGATAAAAATCAATATGAAAAATGAAGAATGAAAACAAAGCTTTTCACAGAATAAGACTTTCATCAGATTTCTGTTGAGTCAAAGACTCTGTATCTCTTTCCTCTGTATTAGTCTTATTATCTGTCTCAGGAAAGTATTATGCATATCTTCAGCTGATCCTCCCACAATATTATCACCTTTTTTTTCTCTTTTTTCATCTCCTAATCATCTCTATCTAACAGGCTTCCAACCTCTGGTTTAGTTTCCAAATAGGTATAATATACTTGCTAAACAATCTAACCTGATTCACTCCTTTTATTATTTAAATATTACATTATTTTAAACAAGGTATATTTCATATTTCCATTTTCTAGTCATGAGTTCCATCCCACCAAATCTTGATGATACTTAAGAAAGCCTTTTTACCTTCATGCGTCAAAAATTCAAGTTAGCCTTGTTTCATTACTCATATTCTATGCGATAATGACCGTACGTATTTTTCCTGATCGTCTTCCTTACTATTTTGTGTACCATCTTCATTACTTCTGTGCGTGGGAACTACTACAATATACCTACAGGCCCACACTAGTTAGAAAGAGCCATAGGAAACAATCTAGGCCAGCTTAGCATATATTTCCTCTACAGCATCCCCATGAAGTGATTGTCCAGCTTCTGCTTGAATACCTCAATGAACAGGAACTTACCTCACAGGGCAACCCATCCCACTTTTGAAGTTTTTTTTCTAATACACTGCTGAAATATCCTCCCTGGTGTATATCATTCAGACACCTCCCAAACCCAGAACCTGGCCTATCTAGAAAAGATCCTTCACAGACATTTGCTGCCTTTCCAATCTGAGCTTGTCCTAAGAGAACCAAGGGTTCAAGGTCATGGGTCGGTCCACCACTAGATGGTACCAGAACAACGTGGGGAGGCGGGGCAGAGAACTTTAGGGCTAAGTAATCTCTCCCAAGTAAGAACAGAAATGTTTCATTATCCCTCTCCCCATTCTATAACATCCGCAACTTTCTATAGGACTTTTCACATCCATAAACCACTTCTTAACACTTGACAAAGTCACAAAGAATATTTTGAAAGATATTTCAATAACAATGACTCCAATGATGAGAAAGAACTGGATAGAAAGATTGGCTAATTGTGAATTTTTGAGAATGAAACTCTCTAAAACAAATCTCAAAACAATTAGGTGACTACACAAACATCTTCATTTTATTAGGCAATTTATATTTCTGGATTTTTAAAGAAATCAGTCCTCTGAAGATCATTCCTAATGATCAGCTTTATTTAAGAAAGGATTACCAGAGCCTGATTCATTTTCACCTTAGAGAACAATTAAGGCTCACTTATTTAATTGAAGTTTGATTACTCAGATCATTAGCCCTTCTAGTCACATTAGATAGTAATCAACACAGACCTGGAGCCATGGAAACTTTGCTCTTCTCTTCCAAAATAATTTTCCCATCAAACTGCATAGCAGGTAGCATTCCTTGTTGAAAAAAGATTATATTCTCTTTTTTTAAACCAAAGTACTTGTGCTTTGAGAAGAACTCCTTTGTAGATTCCATTGTCCTGCCACTGGTCATAATGTACCTGGTAAGACAGAAGAAATGTCCAAAAATCATTATTTTCTATGAACTAGACAACAGCAGAACTGTCCCTGCGCTGACCTACAGTAGAGTTTGGGCAGTGCTAGACTATTCTGGTCTCTTTATCTTTCTCCCGAGATGGTTCCTATAAGCTGCCTCCCAAGCACAGAGTATTCTCAGGACATTTCTCAATCAACTCAGTACTGAGATTCTGCTATGAAAGAGAATCAAGCTACATTTCTAAAACTCTTGGAGCACCTGAATTCTTCCAACTAACCTCAGCATACACTTTATGATATGAAATGTATTCTAAGTCCATGAGAGACATTCTACAAGAATGAAAGAGTGGAAGCAACATCCAGTAGAATGCTCAACCATAGATTTTTTATAAAAATTCTGAAATGGTATTAGAAATATTCTTTTAACACTTCCACTGACTTTACAAACATAAAATGATAAATAACCCTCTACCTTGCCTGGCACAAGGGTTATCTATGGAAATGGCCCATTTATAATATATATGTGTGTGTGTGTGTGTGTGTGTATATATATATGTACTCTGTTCTAGAAATTTACATGCACAAATGATGATGGATAGACCATTTTATGTGATGGACACATATTAGAACAGCAGAAAAATATTCAATCTAGACTGACAATTACACTCAACATAAGAGTATTAAGCATATGTCAGAGAATCCTAGGAGGGCTATTTCCAAGATAATATTGAAATGAATGACACACACTCCAGCAAGTTTGGAAAAGCACAGAAAGGCAGATGTAATTCAAAACCTCAAACAGAAAAATATGGCTTCAGTTGTGTTAATGTGGTTTAAGCACAAAGCAATAAAGAAACTAATTACCAAAAGGGAGAAATGCTCAAAAAAATTAGTAAATCTGGTGTTAAAGAAATCAAACTACTATTAGCTTGAGGAAATTATTTTTCATACTTAACACAACTGCCCTTCCCCAAAGTGCAGGAGGAGTACACCTACACATGAACGCAAAGTGCCTCCTTTGATTTATAGGACAACAGATGCCACACGGAAAAATCTAGTGTAAAATGAATTAAATTTAAAATATCCTATTTATAAAGCATCTCTGGTAAATCCTCTAAGAGAAAGAATCCTTTACATTAGTTAACCTAAAGATAAGCTTAATTTATCACATTTATAAATCTAGATTTTCAGATATTATCTTTGTCAATCACAAGGCTTAGGAGAGTAACACAAATGTTCAGATTGAGATGTCACATTTATGCAGTGTAGCTGATCTCTACTCGATCTCTACTCCTCCTACAACATAACTGATTTTCTTTCTTATTCCTCACCCTAGGCAGTGTTCAAAAAACACGTAAGTACATTAGTCTTTGAAGCCACAATGACTAGTGAAATGTGGTTGGTGAACTATTTGAATATAGATGATTTTAATATAGATATTAATGCAAATGATAAATGAGGTTGCGACAATGCTCCTTTCTCCCAGCATCATCAAACAAAATGCCTGGTTACTATTATTGATATGCATTTTGAATATCACAAACCAATCTATACTAGGAAATGCTAGCCAAAAGCCTTTTTACCAAGGAATGATGCACTGGCTGCCATGATGTTTTTCAACTAGCTGTTGTAGTTTCAAAATGCGCTCAGCTTGGATCTGGAAGAGTGTTTTATGCGACGGCAAACCCACGTCATACATTCCTTTGGGATATGCCACACCAAGTCTTGTGCCCTGACCACCAGCCAGAAGAAGAACTGCCACTTTGTTTTGGGAAATCTGAAGAAACCCTAGAAAAGAAAAAAACATATTGATACCAACTGGTCACAAAGTTGTCCAGCTGCATAGCTGTTTTTGTCCTTAAGGATCTAACTTTTTTTTTTTTTTTAGCAACTGGTCCCATATTCAGCACACATATGCAGGTAACAGTGGCCTCCCAGCTGCATGATTTCCAGCTTTAAGGTATGAATGATTAGGAATTAGCAAAGAGTTATATTTACAAGTTTTTCTTAACTAAAACCATTAAACTGAAAGAGAAGCCATGCTGAAAGCATGACATACTTTCCATTTTCATTTATTTTCTCTCCCTCCCACCTCTCCAACTCCACTGAGAAAGGAAAAGAAAAAAGAAAAAAGAAAAACAAAATCTTTGTAACATAAAATGCAAAATCAAGTAAAACAAATTTCCACACTGGCCTTCTCCAAAAATGAATTTGTCATTCTATGTCTTGAGTTTATCCTCTGGCACCATGGTTGGTGAATGCATTGATCAAAATTCTTAAGTTTTTCAAACAATTATTTTGACAATATTGTTGTAAACATGTACATTGTTTTCCTGGTTCTGTTCACTTCACTCTGAATTCCCTCATACAAGTCTGCCTAGATTTCTCTGAAACCATCCTTTTCATCATTTCTTAAAGCACAATAGACAAGCCATGTCAATGAACAGTTAATAAATGCCTACTATGTGCTAGGCATTACGCTAAGTGCTAGAGATACAGAGGAAGGTAAAAACCAGTGTCTATTCTCAAGGAGCTCACAGTCTAATGGGGAAGACAACATAAAAACCACTAGGTACAAATAAGAAATGCACAGGGCAAACTGGGGATAATCTTTTAGGGAACGGACTAACATTAAGGAAGCTAGGAATATTCCTGTACCATATTTTGTTTTGCCATTCCCTAATTCTTGGGCACTCCCTTTATTTGATGGTTCCAGTTTATTTGATGGTTCAAAAAGAGCTGCTGTAAATAGGTTTTTGTACATAAAGGGCCTTTTCCTGTTTCTTTGATCTCTTGAGGTCAGCGACAGAGTAGTGACATAGCTGGGTAAAAGGGTTTGCACAGTCTAGTAACTCTTTGGGCACAGTTGCAAACTGCTCTCTAGAACGGATCAACCAATTAACAGCTCTACCAACAGTGCATTAATGCGTCTGGTTTCCTGTAGCCCTTTCAACATGTGTCATTTTCCTTTTTTTGGTCATCTCCGCCAAATAGATTTCTTTCCTTGAGGATTCTCTATCCATATCGTTTGATCTTTAATCAATGGGGGAATCAATCAGTCAGTCAATAAACATTCACTAAGTGCCTACTATGTTCCAGGCACTGTGTGAAGTGCTAGGGATACAATGAAAGGCAAAGGGGAGTTCTTGATCTCAAGAGCTCACAGTCTAATGGGGGAGACAATGTACAAACAAGCTATACAAGATAAAACATGGGAAATAATCATCAGAGGAAAATCATTAAAATTAAGGGGGATCTAGAAAGGTTTCCTGTAGAAAGTGAGATTATAGCTGGGACTTAAAGGAAGCCAGGAAAGCCAGGAGGCAGAGATGAGGAGGGAGAACATTCTAGGAACAGGGGACAGCCAGTGAAAATGCCTGGTGGCAGGAGTATTCTGTGCAAGGATCTGCAAGGAGGCCAATGTCTCTGGATCACAGGGTATGGGGTGGGGGTGGGGAGTGTTTATAAGGTGTAAGAAGAATGGAAAGGTAGGGAGGAGGGAGGTACAGGTTATGAAGGGCTTTGAATGCCAAATAAAGCATTTTGTACTCAATTCTGGAGGTGATAGGGAGCCACTGGAGTCTGAGTAGAAGGGTGACATGGTCAGACCTGTGCTTTAGGAAAATCAGTTTGACAGGTAAGTGGAAGATGGATTGGAGTGGGGAGAGACTTGAGGCAGGGGGACCAACTAAGCAGGCTACTGAGATAGACCAGGTGTGAAGTGATGAAGGCCAGCACTAGGGTGGTGACAGTATCAGAGGACAAAAAGAGGCAAGAGGTGTCACAAAAGTAAAATGGCTACAGATTGGATATGGTGGGAGGGGAATGAGAGAGAGTAAGGGTGACAGCTTGATTGGGTGACTGTGAGGATAACGGTACTATCAACAGTAAAAGGGAAATAAGGTAGAGGGAGGAAAGATAGATGCAGTTTGGGTCATGCTGAGTTTACGATGTCTATGGAACATTCAGTCTGAGATGGCCAAAGTTGGAAATGCAAAACTGGAAGTTAGCGGAGAGATCTGGACCAGGTAAGCCAATCTGAGAATCATCAGCATGGAGATGATAACTGAATCCCTGAGAGATGATGAGATTACTAAGCGAAATAATACAGAAGGAGAAAAGAGGAGGGTCCAGGTCAGAGCAGGCAAGACCTGGACGAAGATCAAGCAAAGGAGACTGAAAAAGAGCAGTCAGATAGGTAGGAAAAGAATCTGAAGAGTGTGGTGTCACAAAAACCTAGAGAAAAGAGAATATGAAGAAAAAGAATGCAATTGACAGTGTTACGGGCTGCAAAGAGATCGAGAAGGGGCCATGAAATCTGGCAATGAAGAGATCATACTTTGGAGAGAGCAGTTTTGATTGAATGAAAAGCTGGAAATCAGAGTGTAGAGTTAAAAAGACAATGACATGAAAGAAGTGGAGGTACTTGTTTCCAATGACTTTCTCAAGTAGTTTAGCCACAAAAAGGAGGAGAGAGATGGAATGATAAATTCCGAAGATGCAGGGATCAAGTGAGGGTTTGGGGTTTGTTTGTTTGAGGATGGGAAAGACATGGGCATGTTTTTATAGGCAGTAGGGAAGCAGACAGTAGATAGGGAGAGACAGAAGATAAGTGAGATGGCAAAACAGAGGCAGCAATCTGCTAGAGGCCAGGATACAGCAGATCACTTGTGCATGGAGAAGGATTTGCCCTGGTAAGAAAGGCCACCATATCATGTGAGACAGGTGACGGTGGACAGAGTGGCTGAAGCCATCTAGGAGATGGAAGCTTTCAGCGAATGGCCTCAAACTTTGCAGTGAAATATGAGGCAAGGTTCTCAACTGAGAGACTGGAGGGAGGGGAGTTATGCAAGGTTTGAGAAGGGATGAAAAGCTTCAGAATAGTGGTAACTGGGATAATGAGTCCATTAAGGAGATGTAAAAGAATTGACTTGCTGTAGTGAGGGCCCAGCTGAGATTGTAACCTGAATTTGTAATGGATACAGTTCACATGAGTCTGTGATTTTCTCCAGCTTCATTTGACAACAGAGAATAGGAGTGAATGCTGTAGATGGTGGGAATAATCCAGCACTGAGAATTTGCGGGGCAAGATCTAGGATAGGAATGGTTCTTATTCTCATAAATTTGAATTTGCTTCTTACATATCTTGGAAATATATACTACTTCGGAGAAACCTGATGCAAAGATTTTTTCCCAGTTAACTGTTTCCCTTCTAAATATAGCTGTATTGGATTTGTTTGTGCAAAACCTTTTAAATTTCAAATAAGCAGTTTATCCTTCACTTCATCATCAACTTTTCCCTTATCCATAGAAAGGTTTGCTCCTCTCATTTATTTATTATGTGCCTTTTTGTATATAAGTCCTACATTCACTGGGAGTTTATCTTAGCATATGGTATGAGGTGCTGCTCTACACCTAACTTCCGACAGACTGCTTTCCTACAGGTCTTTTACCTAATCTTGCCTCCTTGAAAATCCACACTTGGTTCTTCTAGGGAAGGTTATACTCCTCTTACTTAAATGTAACTTAGTCTCAGGAGAGTTAAAAGCTTTCTTTTGCCTCAGACCCTGGCTGCCTCCTGCCCTTTCTTCTCCAGGAAAAGATCTGCTTACTTCTCCAGCTTTGTCTCTCAGAGAGAAATCCTGTCTCTCTCCAGAATTTCCCTAGCTTTCTCAAGTGATGTGAGAAACCAAAGATTACCTGCCAATAAAACCCAAATGATCTAAATTCCTCAGTCATAGGAGATGTTCCTTTGAACATTATGACCTTTTCCTCACAAAAAAGAAACACTCCCAAACCTTAAAAAAAAAAGTCAAACATTGGCTTTTCAGGTTGCTTGAAAAGCCAGCTGAGGTTTAAGCTTCAAAATCCCCAATTAACTTACCAACTAAAAAATTTTTTGAAAAAATGAATTACAAAACCAATCTATAAAACAAAACAGGAAATTAAAGAAGATGTAAAATGTTTTCTCACCCTGAGGAACATGCTTGCTGAAGTGGAAAGAAAAAAAAAAGCAAGATTCTGGCCAAAAATTAAAAAAAAAAACAAATAGGAAAAACTTGTATTTCTGGTGCATTGCTGTCCTGCACTTTATTAAGTCAAGCTGTTCCTATGTGATACAAACAATAGGGATTAAGAGACATGGAGCCTGATACTTCCCAATCTACTCACCAAATGGTCACAAATATGCTAAAAAAAAAAAACAAAAAAAAAAACCAGTATCTGTATCTGTGGCCAATTATGGCTCTCTATCTTTTTTTTTAAATACAGACCTATGATTTCATTGATGGAGGGACTTCCTATCTCAGTTTGGCTGTCTCTTCCCAGAACCCCCAATTCATGGGCCATTCTGGTATTCCTTGTTAGACCACGCTTACTTGTACACTAATTTTAAGCCAATTATCTCTCTGTTTCCCTCCTCACCGAGACAAAGTCTAAAGCATCTCCATAGGTCTAGAAGCAATTGAGAGGCCATGGTCAATTTATCACCTATTGTGCCTCCTAGTAAGATCTAGCTGGAAGTAATGTAGATCCTTTAATAAATATTACTGGAATATTTTTTACAGGTCTATTCTGCCTAGGCCCTAGATCTAGTTCAACCCATGGTGAAAATGATCTCCTTATAGTTACCCAAATTTTGACTCTGGCTCCTTGAGAGTTGCATAAATCTCCCCGCGTTAGCCTTTTTCCTGGGCCACGCTCAACTCTCCCAAAGTGTTCCTGCTTTTCAATCCTTTGTGATTCCTCCTTTCCTCCTCAAAAGTTTTTTTTTTAATTGAATACTTACT